TATGGGGATGAAGGGGATTATTGCTTTTTTTAAGGAGAGCCTTTCATGATATTTTGAGGCTCAGGAGCAACCGCAGTGGTTTTGTAAGAGTAACAATGGATAATATTGGTTATGTAAGTTCCAGCAAATTACAAGAGTCCAAAAAAATATATATATAAATAAGAAGAGCAGAATTTGAAAAGTTGTCAAAACTTGCACAGGCATGCTGACACAGAAGTAACCTCTTGCAGTCATTATCTGAATCATTTAAAGTAATTAAGCGAAATATACMGTATTTTCTGTTGAATTTAAGAAACAGAGGTCATGTACTCTGCTAGCTCACCCACCTCACTCCTCATCATATTAGCCAYGGGAGGAAAAACATTCAACAAGGCTGCTACCACTAGTTGTAAGATTATAAATAAAATGAGACTATCAGGCTGTTGGTCTCAACAAGAATACATGCCTACCAAAGAATACGTGGACTAAGGACATTAAAACTACACCAGTTTCCTATGGACCCATTTCTGAACAGGGATAGTTTACTTCACAAAGCCTGATTGAACTTAAAAGTAGGAGTTTTCATGAATTCATAATAACAAAAACTCAAATGGACATTCTAGAACAGACAAGCTCATACAAATATTTGTTGTTGTGTAAGGGTAGAGAGGTGTGACCAGACTAGTGTTCACACCAAAGAGGTATATTAGCTGTGTCTCAATTCAGTGGTTGCTGCCAACGTGGGCCACACATCCGTGTAGGCTGCATGACTGTAAAAAGAAACAGTCTTGTTTTCGGATATTTGTATGACCACGCTAATATGGTTTTACRTTTTATACTCCAGTATACTGCCCAGTACTACAGTGGGTATCAAGTTATTTAACCAATAGGAAACAGTTTGTACAAATTAATGGTGTAAGGTCTGAAATTTGTAATATTGTATGTGGGGTTCCACAAGGTTCTGTACTGGGACCAAAGTTGTTTCTTCTATATATTAATGACTTGGTAAATGTGTCGGTGTTGTTTAGATGTGTTTTATTTGCAGACGACCCTACATTCTTTTTTTTTGCTTGGTTGAGAACATAGAACAGATGTTGAAAATGATGGAAGTGGAATTTCTAAAAGTACAAAATTGTTTTAAACATAATAACTTATCATTAAATTTGGATAAAACAAAATTCATGATGTTTAGTAATAGAAAGAAAACAACCGATGTTCCATTTAGAGTGGATGGCGTTGAAATTTGCAGAGTCAGTGAGGTGAAGTTTTTGGGTGTCATCATTGACGAAAAACGGACAATAGAGACCTCATATAAATTACTTAAGAACAAAAATGGCTAAATCTATTGCAGTATTGTATAAAGTTAAGGAGTTATTTAATGACAAAGCACTATTTACACTATATAATGCAATAATTGTTCCACAT